GCAGTAGAACAATGCAATAACTTGGACAAAGAGGGTAAATACAAACCGACCAGATACTCATAAAAACTGAATATGGTAACAAAGTTACATGGCACAACCAAGTCTGCTTTTCAGGTGATAAAGTAGTATTTCCCCATCCCGTGCGGCCCTGCTCCTCACTACAGTGGTTATTCTTACTTCCAAAATGGAGGAGAGAGGGGATGACCTAAGCACTATAGGTCAAAGCTAAGAGGCAATAAGAAGCAAAAATTGGAGGGTCTCAAGGGTAAGAGAAAAACGAAGGACAGTAGGAAGAAAGAGGAGGAAACTGAAACCAGTCTGGAAAGAGAAGGAAGAGGGGGAGAAAGAAAAAAGAAAAGAAAGTGGGAAAGAAGTGATAGGATTTGGGGGAAATTCTCGCAGAGTACAGCCCTGTACAGGTTATGGTAATCCATAAAAGAACATATCAGACCGAGAGCAAGGTGAGGTCTAGGCTCCAGCTATCATAAGTTATCCATGAGTCCCAGACCTTCAAAAACTTAGTGTGGTATAGTTTAGTATAGAGGAGAGCTTCTCATGCACCATGGACCCCGTGAGCCATTGTTTTGCCTTTGGCGAGGGTGAGAAACTGTTGCCTGCAATCCCTGGCTAATGTCTGGTGGGCTACCCGAAAGACAAAATCCCACCAGTCTCCTTTGGTTCCTGGAGTCAAGATGGGTTTAGGCAATAAGGCTTCCCATGGGTTGCGAGCTAAAGTTGTTTTAATACTGTTAATCATAGTATACATTTGCTTCCAAAAGGAGATCGCTTTAGTGCAGCGGTTCTCAACCTGTGGGTCGCGACCCCTTTGGGGGTCGAACGACTACTCTTTCACAGGGGTCGCCTAAGACCATCGGAAAACACATATTTCCGATGGTCTTAGGAACCGAGACACCGCTGCTCTATCCGTCTCCAGGTGTGGGCGGGATGACATGCTGCCCCTGTCATCTGGACACACCCTCGGGATCAATCCTCGCCGGTGATTGGCCGCCGGAACTGTAGCTCAGGAGAGGCACACAGGCGGCCAATCACCGGCGAGGAGGTGGAGCTTGGAGAGGAGGAGCCGAGCGGCACCGCGAAGATCGAGCGAGTGAAGAGGAGGAGAGCGGCCGGAGAAGGAAGACAGTTGACAGGTAAGTGTCTGTACCATGGGAGAGAGGGAGGGAGCGAGCGAGCGAGCCCAGGCTGGAGCAGGGGTCAGCAAGGTAAGTATCATTGGTGTCAGTGGGAGGAATAGTGCCCAATCATTGGTGTCACTAATACCAATGATGGGGCACTATTCCTCCCACTGACACCAACGATGGAGCACGATTCCTCCCCCCACTGACACCAACGATGAGGCACGATTCCTCCCCCCACTGACACCAACGATGAGGCACGATTCCTCCCCCCACTGACACCAACGATGAGGCACGATTCCTCCCCCCCACTGACACCAACGATGGGGCACTATTCCCCCCACTGACACCTATGATGGGGCACTATTCCTTCCCCTCCACTGACACCTATGATGGGGCACTATTCCTCCCACTGACACCAATGATGGGGCACTATTCCTCCCACTGACACCAATGATGGGGCACTATTCCTCCCACTGACACCAATGATGGGGCACTATTCCTCCCACTGACACCAATGATGGGGCACTATTCCTCCCACTGACACCAATGATGGGGCACTATTCCCCCCACTGACACCTATGATGGGGCACTATTCCCCCCACTGACACCTATGATGGGTCACTATTCCTCCCACTGACACCAATGATGGGGCACTATTCCTACCACTGACACCAATGATGGGGCACTATTCCTACCACTGACACCTATGATGGGGCACTATTCCCCCCACTGACACCAATGATGGGGCACTATTCCCCTCCACTGACACCTATGATGGGGCACTATTCCTCCCACTGACACCAATGATGGGGCACTATTCCTCCCACTGACACCAATGATGGGGCACTATTCCTCCCACTGACACCAATGATGGGGCACTATTCCTCCCACTGACACCAATGATGGGGCACTATTCCTCCCACTGACACCAATGATGGGGCACTATTCCTCCCACTGACACCAATGATGGGGCACTATTCCCCCCACTGACACCTATGATGGGGCACTATTCCCCCCCACTGACACCTATGATGGGGCACTATTCCCCCCACTGACACCTATGATGGGGCACTATTCCTCCCACTGACACCAATGATGGGGCACTATTCCTACCACTGACACCAATGATGGGGCACTATTCCTACCACTGACACCAATGAAGGGGCACTATTCCTCCCATTGACATCAGTGATGGGACACTATTCCTCCCACTGACACCAATGACGTGGCACTACTCCTCCCACTGCAAAATTACAGTTATGAAGTAGCAACGAAAATAATTTTATGGTTGGGGGTCACCACAACATGAGGAACTGTATTAAGGGGTCGCGGCATTAGGAAGGTTGAGAACCACTGCTTTAGTGCAAGTCCATCAGATGTGAAGTAGGGTGCCCCACCATGGAAACACATCTAAGATGCGTTAGGAATGAACTCAGATATACAGAGGTCATGTATCAGTGGGAAAGCAATTTGTATGTGTTTTTCTGAACCAAGATGGTCTGGGAGCATTTTGAAGAAGTAAGCCAGATGTTGTCCCAGGCTGGCTTGCCTTAAGTCTTGCCAAGGTCAGCTTCCCATTTTACCATACAAGAGCCTTTACCTTATGGAGTTTACGGGGGGAGGCATAGAAATCAGAGCATAGAGCTTTCGAATGAGGGTGTTTTCAACTGGGGATTTTGAATGACGTTAATTGTGTCCACAAATGTGAGGTGTAATTTGAAGGTGTTGGAAGGCTCTGGAGACTGTAGTTGCCAGTGTTCCCATAGATACACTGTAGTTAAAGGATTTGATACTATAGATATACTATTGCATGCTATTTTCTTTTAAAGTGTTAGCTGATTATGCAGAAGTTAGCTTCTGTGTATATGCTTATTGCCACTGCCACCAAAGGTACAAACAAGTCCTACAGCTGAGAATATTACTGCCCCCCTGGGCAGACCAATTAGTCTATATTAAATCAACCAAAAGTCCATGTGCAATAAAAGATCTACATATGCTCTCACCAGATTCATCCAGTGATAAAGCGTTGTATACAACACCTCTTCTCTACCGTCCACTCCACTCCACATACTTCCAAAAAAGAAAAAAAAAAAACAAATATAGTGTAGTGTGTTCTAACTAATTAAAAAAAAATATAATAAATTATGTAGACTACTAAAATAAATAGTGAAGTGCTGCCCCTTATTACAATCGGGTGGAAGTGAAAATGTGCAGTAATCTTCTTAAAAATATATATAAACACAAATATAAAAATCAAAACTTGTGCATAGCGCAGTGGGGTACAATAATACACCTTCCCCTTTGTGCTTCAGTATCTCCTCCACTTATATAACAATTTAAATGGTGTATTCCCTATTATAGGAAGGTTCAATACCATATTGCAACTGCTCCCAAAACTCAGCCGTACTACAATGCACTCTCCTCCTATAGCAGACAAACTCTGAATACCGTATTTTCCGGCGTATAAGACGACTTTTTACCCCTTGAAAATCCTCTCAAAAGTCGGGGGTCGTCTTATACGCCAGTATACGGCATACTGACACTTTTTAGGGGGGCGGCGCGGTGCCGCCGCCACCGCCCCCCCTTCCAACAGAAGGGACACTAAGTACAGGGGTGGGCAGGGGCTGCTGTTTCTTACCTGGATCCGGTCCCATTTTATCAAGACATAATATTATATGGCAAACAGCTCAGGATAGCCGGATGCTAAGAGTTAATTTTGTCTTGGTTGAACCATCAAGGATTCTAGTTAAGAAATGGAGAATGGGGGAAGTGAGTCTTTTCCAAGACAATAAGCCTGTTTGAACTGTCAACAAGGATTATTTGTATATGGAGGTTGAGAAGAATGCACATACAGAAAAGTCAAACACATAGCCAGATAGGACTTTGACTTTTAAACATTTCAACAATAATGAGACGGGAACTCAACTGGTTGAAAGCTTAACCAAAACCTGTAGAGTGTGATGAACTAACAGACCTCTGAAACTATTACCATATACTATTGTTCACCAAGGGTGAAAGCATTAACAAATTGTTTACCATGAGCCCAATACAAGGGCCATGCAAATAGAGAGTTTTTTTTTTTCCCTACACAGAGAAAATGTTGATTCTGAAACAAAGGGGTGAAATTCAGGACATTTAAGTTTAAAAGTTCACTGTATATCATGACAAAAAATAATACTACAAAAACATATCATAAATAAGATGTTATAGATTTTAAACACCACTAAATACTCAGCAATGGGAACTATATATCACTAATTTGAGTATTGAGATGATGGGAAGTAAGATGTATTATAGACTAGCATTAGTTACATGTCTTATCAGGAAACAAACAGGATGGTACTTCAAGGAGGAATAACCGAATATACACCTATATTCCATGGTCCCTATTTAGAATAATATAGGTATATCACTGCTATATCTGGATAGAGCCGTATATTTTATTCCTGAAATTACCTGAAGATTCCACCCAAGGTATGAGTCATCTCAAATACTCACATTTGTTCTGTGATACATGACCGCCACCCTGGCGGGCAGGTGAGAAATAGCTTATGTACACACATTTCTCAACTAGCCAATCAGGAAGCCTGGTGGGAAGGTATCTTAGAACAATGGACTAGTGGATATAAAAAGCCCATGTGCTTTAAGGAAAAAGGGATCCCTCATAAAAAAACCTCATGGAAAGACCTGACATCTGAAGAAGATCTGCTGAATAACTACTCTTCCATCTTTTCAAACTTCCTAAAACTTTAAACCTCTAATCTTATAACTTCCCTACATTCTCCCCTACTGAATCTTTCACTTGCCCTATATATCAGTCTAAAGGCGTTCCACTGCCAGCTAAATCCACGGGAGAGTTGCCTAGTCTGAATTCCGGGTGTGGTGAGATATTTATTTGATTTTTGTATTAATTATTTTCTCTGTTGTGTGGAATCATAAAATTACCTCAGTGTATCATAACAATATTGGGTAGTTAGATATATGTAGAAAGATACTGTGTTACTGTTAAAAATTGTTTATTGCCATATTATAAATTTTTTTTCATATTTCATAATTTATTGAATATTAATAACCAGAGTATCATATATCAAGGGCTTGCTTCTTGCAATCCTATGGCCACGGCTTGTAAGAATATAACCTTTGAGATATTCGAAATTATTAATTATTAATAAATTTAATAAAAATATCATATCATTTAAAATTTTGTGATTGATGTAATTAGTTAGAGACCTTATTAGTGTGTCTTACATTGGTAGGATATATTTTTGATTGTGTGTACCAATATTCATTTATCACCAGTCTTTTGCGTTTTGTGTTAATAATATATATATAATTTTTGTACATAAATAAATTTTTATATATTTATCTATTATAAGGCAAATTTTGTGTGTATGGTACGAAATCATATTGGCTAAAAGAATTCAAGGTATAATAATAAGTGGTGATCAAATTATCAAAGTGTCCAAATTATTGGTTTACTAAATATTTGCCGTATTTTAACGGCTGGAGGCACTGTAATATTTCATCTAAGGGAAAGGGACACGCCCTTTATAAATAATATATATCCTTACATAAACCACCACAACATAAATTTGGAGGCACTGCTGAGATCCATAGAAATCGTACCATAACACAAAAACGCACTGGTGATTGTATATTTGTACACTTTATCAAACATATATTTTGTATCAAAATGGCATCCAGTAATCACGGATCCACCTCTTCCAAGCATAACGAGGAAAATATGGCGGCTCAAGGCATTGAGCAGGAAGTTATGAAGCCAGCTCGGAAAGCTGCCGGTGCTTGGCAGAAGTATGTTGAAAATGAAGTAATAGATTATCTCCGCAAGAGATTAAGTTTGGGGGATAGCAATAATGAATTTGTGGATGAAGAGAAAAAAGCAGGCTATTAGCACCTTTGAGGACCTGTTCAACCAAAAGGGCCAGGTTGTTGGGTTTTTAATAGCATTTGCTGGAGCAGAAAGTGATAGAAGCCGTGACAGACTTCTCCTAGAAGCTTGGCCCATGTTATGGTTCATGACCGCTGGAGCTGCCCAGCGACCATGACTCTAAGGGAAGAGTTGTCAGAGGCCCGCCTCTTGTTAGAAAGCAAAAATCAGGACATTGAGTCTTTGAAAGGGAAGCTTGGTCATGCCGGTGTTCGTTTAGACGAATCCGAGAAACATTATGATAGATTGGTCGGAGACTTTCGAAGTGCTCAGGACCTATATGAAAGAAACTTTCAGGAATTAAAACAACTTCAAAAGAAGTATCAGGACTTAAAAGATGAGGTGGAGTACTTCAGATCAGAGAGGTTATCTCCTGTCAAAATTAAAGTTCACCCAGGGGATAAGCATGACCAGTCAGAACTTACCTTGATAAAATCTGAGCAGAAAACTCTGGAGGAGCAGATTATAAGGGTTGACGGCCCAAATAAATTCTGGGGTCCAAAGACGGACCAACCCAGTCAAGCCAGAGGCTGATGAGCGGAGATACCCGCATCACAGCGAAGTATCTGATAGTGAGTCAGGGTCAGAATATAGGTCACCTCCTAGGCTTTCAAGATACACTCCAGAGCGCTCTGAAGAAAAATATGAGGTTTCATATAGGCAGGAAGGGAAATCCCAGGGGTCATTCAGGAGATATGACACCCCCCAAAGGTCATTAAGTTCCTGAAGGACACTGTTCCTATGTTTTCTAAGAAAGGGTCCCTTGAGATCACCGAACACATGAGAACATATGAACAGACGTTAGAGATTCTGGGCATTAGAGATGACCACACCAAAATAGAATTGCTGCCATGGGTGTTTGAAGAGAAATACCGGCAATTCTTTGAGACCTTGAGGGCCTATTCCAATCAGTCCTGGAGAGAGGTTAAACATATAAGTGCCACATGGAATTTGGGCCTTATAAAACTGTAACCTCTGCCAAGGCTGCGGCCTACAATTTAAAGTGTGGTCCTCACCAAAGCCCTGCAGAATTTCTGGCTGTCCTCAGAAATGCCTATTTCCTGGCTGAAAAGGATCC